CTCACTGACCTTTGAGGACCTGCTTTGAGGTCACCATTCACACAAGTAACCGTTTGGCATTTTTCTCAGCTTTATTTGTCTTTTTGCAACAGAATTCTCCTGTGCCGTGGGGAAAATGCCGTTGTATCTGTGAGTTCAGAAGTGCACTTGCAATTTCCCATAGAATCATAGAATGGTTCCAGTTGGAAAGGACTTTAAAGATCATCTAGTTCTGTCTCTTTCGATGCTCAGATACCTCAAATTCAAGGTGTGCACTGTTAAATATGTACCAAGGTCCTCCTCTCCAAAAAACAATAGGCTTAAAGCCTTGAGAGAGCTATTTGCTTTGTGTCTGTATGTGTCTGTTTGCACAGAGAAAATTCATTTTTTAAAAAAAAACAACTCTAAAGTACACGCTTGTCGGTAGTGTTTGATATTGTTTTACTTTTCTTAAAAAGAAAATGTTGAGTAGATGGTGATTTCAGTGCCTCCGTCTCTCCTCTTTGAGGCTTTTCTCTTTTCATGGCTTATAACAACCTGGTTTATAAATTGGGCTGAGCTGACTCTGATTGCGTATTTCACCTGTATCTTGTTAAAGTATTTTGTTTGTTCTGATCTTTTGCATGTGTGTGTGTGTGTGTGTGAATGCACTGGTTTTGGCTGGGATAGAGTTAATTTTCCTCGTAGTTGCTGGTGTGGTGCTGTCTTTTGTATTTGTGACCACAACAGTGTTGATAACAGGAGGGCAGTTGTTCGTGTGGTGCTGTCTTTTGTATCTGTGACCACAACAGTGTTGATAACAGGAGGGCTTTTTAATTATTGCTAAGTGGTGTTCATGTAGAGCATGTTCCTGCTCCTCACCCCGTCCCACCAGCAACGGGCTGGGGGGCACAAGGGGCTGGGAGGGGACACAGCTGGGAGAGCTGACCCCAGTTGGGACATTCCATCCCATAGGATGTCATGCTCAGGGTATAAAGCTGGGGGAAGAAGAAGGAAGTGGGGAGGACATCGACGTTGATGGTGTTTGTCTTCCCAAGGCACTGTCAGGTGTGATTTTACGTTCTTGTCTTGCAGATTTTGTTAATCAGGCACCTGGACTAGTTATGTCCCATCTGGCAGCTCTTCTGAAAAGAGCTGTGTTATTGTCATAAGGTGTAATCTGAGCAAATTTCTCTCTTCTGCCTCGGAAGCTGAATTACTTTGTACAAATACTCTGTTTTTCTTTCTCACAGTATCCATTTACCGCACGCTGCTTCGCCGGCACTCGGGCAGATTAACTTCCCTTTCTTTCCTTTCAGATTTGAGTCCACGCACGTAACATCTGTCTCTTTCCCAGGTGAACATTGTACAAATCAGATACTTCCTAAACCCCAACGTTACTCAAGAAAAAACTGTGCAAGTTTTCCCGAGTTGAGACATCTTTCTCCATGCCGCCTCACAAAAGTTGTGTCAACTCTCTCTAATTAGCATTGACGTGGTACCAGCTGCGGATGGTACAGGCTGTTCAGAGCCCGTTGTGTTGCAATGCCCTCTTCCTCTTGCTTGCGGGGTGACTGGAGCTCTCTGCAGAGCTGGCCTCCATCATAACCCAGTAAAATTTTAACCCTTTCGTGTTCTGGAAATAATGGGATTTGCCAAAAAAAATTTTCCCCTGTGGCTTGAATAATTTAATTCATTTGTAACTGGTTTAGGATTTCTGGATAAATATTCTCAGACAATTGTTAGCAACATCTCTATCTACAGCACAGCTCACAGCGTTGGGCGTGGAGTGAGAAGAGAAGGGTAAGAAGAACAGAGAAGAGAGGTGAGAATCTTTATGCTGAGGGTATTTCAAATTTTTAGTAAGAACTCATCGAAATATTGCAAGACAATTTACTGCTGAGCCAAGTCTCCTAAAAACTACTGAGCTCTCAAGCACATGGAGTCTGTTGCGTTTTACCTCTGCTCTAAACAGTTGATTAATTCCTTCCAATTAAATATATGTTTCAGAGTGGGAACATTCCTGTGGCCTTGCGAAAACCAGCCAAACTCGAGGTGATTCATAGTAAGACTCTCCTTTGCAGAGATCCTGAATTAATCAAAATACTTATGGGGAAAATAATGACGATATCCGACATCACGAAAGACTGAACAGTTTAGTTCAAATTCTTTTTATACGGTCTTCTATTTTTATTCATCTATTTCTGCGTGTGTCCTGTGCACAAAACCATATTGCTACAGGAAAAGATCTTGAACATTATACTTACCCTCTTTCTGTTGTGTAATAAGGTTTCAAGTTGTTTTTAGTTTGCAAAATTCAAGTAGATTAGTCAGTTACTAATTATTTATTAAACAGAAGAGTTGGCAGTGTAAGTTATTTTGGAAGTCTGGGTCTCTGGCTCCTCATGTATCTCATGGGAACTGAGAGCTACTTCCCTTGACCTTCAGAACACCCAGTGGCCTCTCTTTGCCTTCCCTCTTCTTTCACACTCAGCTCTGATGTGGCCTTCATCTTGTTCCTGATATTGATTATTAGTTCAGAAAAGTGGTAGGGAAGAAACCAAGAAAAAACCAAGCAAAAATCAACTTATAGTTGCTTATGCTTTTGTAGGTACAAAGAATAAGAGGAATTGCTCAATATAAACCACTGAGCTAGAAGTCAATACAATGAGATGAGATCTGTAAAATAAAATCAAGATCTGAATATGTGAAAGATCCTCAGAGTGAAATCTATTAAGAAAGGGACATTAAAGGGGATAAAATTTGCAGAAATCCCAACGTGGTGGATTTTTATAGAACAAACCACGCCAAATCCTGTCTGTGAAGCCCATATGGAGATACGTTGGGTGATCACATCCAGCAGGTCTGCCTAGGGGGTTTTGAGTGGTGTAGAAGGACTGGATACCGAAGATAGAGGGGAAAAAAAAGTTAACTTTGAAATCCTATACTAATATGTTTTAATTGTGTGACCTATTAGCCAGCAACAAGAGGAACACAAGCTGGCACAAAGGTGAACTGCAAAATGAAAACCACTCCAAAGTTTCGTCTAAATCTTTTTACTTCTTTCCCACTCAATACAAGAACGCATTTTCATCGCAACTTTTCATTATCTTCTTCCCATACTCTGACTTTTTTTTCCCAAGAAATTGGATTTATGCAACCTCAGATAACAGAGAATAACATATTTGAAGTTTTGATGGAGAAAGTTAAATGAGTTTACAAAGGGCGATATTCTTATAAAGCTTATTTCTGCTGAATTTTCTTGGTGGTTTGCCCAGTGAGGATATTCAACCCTCCCACTGAAAAAGCTCCTTTTTTTCAGTTTTCATTTTCAATTAACATTTGAGATTACTTTGAAGAGCCACGACTTCTTACAGGTAAACAGAGTACTAGAGCTGGGGAAAAAAAAAAAGAAATTGTTCTTTTGATTGGTTTCAAAACATCCCTTAAAAAATTAGAGGCATTTTAGGAAGGTCAGAGTGACTTCTCCAAATTCCATTGCCTTCTCCATTCCAATTGCCTGATGCTGAGAAGCAGCAGTGGGTTCAATAATGGCCTGTGTAAAGTCACTGATAAAGCAGAGAACAGGGGGGAAAATAGTTTGATATTGCTGGTCCAGTTCCGTAGGGAGTTGTGTAATGATTTATTCAGAATTTTAATGATGGCCAAACATGCTGTGTAATTCAAAGCTCGCTGCCATATCTTGAGGGTGGCTGTAGAGTAGGGACTTTGTACAAATGGTTTCTGTTTGCTGCTGTTGGCACCGGCTCGGCTGGGAAAAAGGAACGGTCTTCTATCGTTGGGCAACAGAATTGAGCAAGAGACAGGATCTTGGGCTGGAATGGAGAAACGAGATGGTTTTTTTTGGAAAGGCACCAGAAGGTCAAGAATTTTTATGTAGCATCAAAGTCAAAGGACTAAACTAAAGAACAGGCTGCTGCTTTGGAGAGGTAGCAACATTCTTGGTGTTTTTTGCAGTTATTTTGAGGATGGATATCAATTTCAGGTGGTGGGAAGAGCCTCCCATGTTGATCGGGATGTCCCGTTACTACCGCTTGCTTTCTGCTGCCCGTGCTCTGACAATGCCAGTGTGCTCCCCAATAAATTCACTGTTTACATAAAGCAGGGGGAAACACTTCCACTCTAGGTTGCTTTCATTTTTTAATGGAGAAAATGGCTCCAAGAAGACTAAATGAAAAGCCCGTGTGCTGGAGAAATACTCCCTAAGCCATGCGGGGGAAGATGCATGCCTTTATTTCAGACATGTAACTTTTAAATTCATTTTTCTTTCCCTGCCCTGATGGTAGAAGGAACGGAAAAGGTTGTGCTGTTCCACTACTGGGGCTTTCCTAACCATTTTGATCCCTGTTTTTCTGTTGAGAAAAGCCCAAAAACCATAAACTAGCTATTGAATGTTCCCACTTCATGTCATCAGTTCAGGGTTTGGGGCCTGCCCTGTTAATTGATAGTTTTCTGATTTCTAATTTAATTCTCCTGCATCAAAATCCGTTGTTGTTGTTGTTTTTTTTTTAATTTGGAAGCATTTTAGGAAAAAGAACAAGATCAGAGTAATCTATACAAAGTGTTCCCCAAAAGCAGGAAGCCAAGATCGTGACAGATAAGGAACTTATGAAAATAATAAAAAATAAAAAGATAAAGACAGATAAGTCTTCTGTGACCAGCGGAGCTCGGGGCTGTTGTGACCTGTGGCTGTAGATACAGGAAGTCATTTTCCTCCTGGATCCTCTTTTAAATGTAGGAGCAAAATAAAAGTCTGGTGCCTGTCGTGGGGCGCGTGGGAGGTTCTGACGGGTCATCTGAAAGTCTGGACGAGAGGATGGAGATAGCCCCATACCTAGGCACAGCAAGAGCTTTTCAAAGGATGGGTGATTTTTGTTGCATATATATGAATTCATAACTCCTAACTGTTAATGTTTGTAGGACGTTACCACCAATACACTGACGTCTGAGGCGGAATTGCGTAACTTCTAAGCGGCATTTCCTTTCTTAACAGTCAAATAATGCGGTGGGATGTCCCTGTTCTCCTGCTCTGAACAGTGTGTTCACAGAATCACATAGAAAAACCTCTTCGTTTCTGTTTCCATTACATCAGCTACAAGAAGTCCATGCAGAAGATATGGCGCTTTAATAATTAACCAGAGAACTGTCTAGATTGATTAAAAACCCCAGACAAATGGTATATATATGAAACAAATTAACCCTGCTGAGATAATAAATCAAAACAATTTAATCTCCTGAACTTTACCACCTTCTTTACTACAGATCAAGTGGCGTATAAGTTTATCTCTACATGTGCTGTGTTTGGGTTTATCTCTAGTGTGGTATTTTCTATGATTACCAGGTAACTTTCAGCCTTTATTTTACAGTTCAAGCAACAGGGCTTTCACTGCTTCCTCAGGAGACTTCATTAACAGGTATATTTGTACATTATACACGTGCTCTTTAATCCCTCTATAAATACATTCTTTATAAGGACTTTTTTGGTGCTAAATCTTAGCTAAGTACCTTGCTACTGGGTTTTTGACTCAACCTTATGCTTTTCATGATGTATTTCACAGCTAATTCTTGAAAATTCAAACTGGCACCACGTTCAGCAAAAAAAAAAAGAAAAGATCATTTATTGCTTATCTAGCCATCTCATTTCCCAGTTGCATATTTCCTGCAGGTCACTGATTTTTCCTGAATGTTTTGAAAAATGAAATTTCATGTGTAAATGTTCTTCCTTTACTACTTAATCTGCGTTCTTCCTTGGTTTGTTCTAAACCCTGAGGGCAAAACCGCATTTGCTTTCAGTTTCAATCCAGACAAGCAGCTTCCAGAAACAAACCGAAATGAAGTTCTGGTGAGAAAAAAACAGAGTTTCCACACTACAGGAACTCTTCCTTTAAAATTCAATCTGCAAATCAAAGTTCTTAGCATATAAAATTGCAACACTTGGAGTGAAATAGCTGTCTGTGGGGGGGGATAGGGTTGGGGGAAATGTAACAGGTTGTTTTATTTCTTAGCATTTCCCAGAAAAATGTTGTTTTGCCTTCCACTGCTAATTAAATATTGCTGGGTGCAAAGGGCAGCTGTGGTTTGGATAAAAAGGACAGGTCAAGTGGTTAAAGAACTACTCAGAAATTCTTTTCAATGCCCCTGAGCCGTCAAGCACCTGATGTTTTTGCCATACGAAATACTGCCTCCATTAAAGAAACCTGTAAAAGCCCATAGACTTTTTGAAAGTAGGAGTTAACCTTTAATGTCTCCCCATTTCAGGTCCTCCCCTGTAGATTGTAGTCATTCTTTATTGCACAATCAAGCATTAAAAATTAAGAATATGCTTCATTAATGTGAGAATGGGAAGTGCAATAAAACATGAGATAGATAGTAGCTCAGAAGGTGATTGCAAGACTGGGCCTTCTATAACTTATTTAATTTTGCTTAATTTTCTCTCTGTCTAGATCCCCAGCAGGATTCCCAATAGTGCAGAGGAAAAACTGTGAAGTAATCAGCATTCCAAAAATCCCACAGCGGACTCTGGAGGGAAGCACGCAAACAAATAAGTAATGCATATTTCATTTCATGAAATTTTGTGGATCAGAATATGAACAGAAGCTGAGAGTTGACAATATATGTCTCGAGGGAAGCAAAATGTTTAATTTTAAATTGAAGCATTAAAATATAAAATAAATACACTTAGATTTGTTGAAAGGGCTGTCCAAATTGATGCACGATTTCTAAGTATTTCTAAGATTTCTAACTCAGAAACAGGGAATTTTGTTTGGTGTCCTCCTGCTGCCACCAGCACTTCCTTCACCAGGACGTGCATGTGCAAGCAGGACATCTACTGTTCCAGGCAGTGGCCAACCTCACAACCGGTTTCAGTCAGGTTTTTCTGTTGGGTTATTTTAGTTTCTGTTTCTGTTTTTCCCTGTTACGCTACAATTAAAATGTTGTTATCAGTTACTTGGTAGAAGACAAAATCCCGCAGCCCCTTCTTCTGTGTCTAATTTCCAAACCCCTGGATGTGACATGGGAAGTGGAACTTTGCAGCCACACTCAGTGACTGCAAGAGAAACCGAGAACTTTGCATCCAAAAAGGCCTTTTGCCTTTCTCTTCCTTCTGACCCAAAGCCTAGAACCAACATTCTTCTCAGAAAGATGTTCCTAGCCACCCACTGTCCAGGGGATCTTTATGCCTTTGATTGCCACCATCTGTCATGAGCAGTTTGTCAACAGATTAGAGTTCAGGCTGCTCTGGGATGCTGTGGTGGTCTGCAAATGGGTAGTTCTAGAAGAACCATAGAATGGTCCACGTGGAGGGGGTTAAAGTGATGTGCAGAGCCATATGACAGGCCAGGTTGGAGGGGAGACCTTGAAAGATCATCTGGTCCAACCTTTCATGGGACAGGGAGCCTGGATGAGATTATCTAGATGACCTAGAACATCTTAGAGTTCTCTGTTGAAGAGGAAGTGCCTCTGACAAGGCTTTCCTGCAGCTTGGGGGGATTTCTGTCTGTCTCCTCGTGCTTTTACTGGAGCTGGTTCATGTTCTTCCCCCATTGGAGTTTTGACACTTCATCTCTCAGGCTCTGGACTGACCTCCAGCCAGTGAATGACAAATTCCTCTTCAAATTCTTCTGTATTTAGTCGTCTGTGGAATGTGTTCGACCAGAATTCCAGTGAAACTAACCCAATAACAGTCTGATTCTAAGTATGGGGGGAAACACTCCAGTTCTGTGTCTGCTAAGGTGACCTCAAGCTCTACAGATTCCCTTCCTTAGTGGCTATCTTCACCTTCTCATCCTTGACCATCAGACACCCCACCTCAAAGTGTAAAAACATGAAGTTGTAGCTGTGGAAAGGTCAAATATGAAAAATAATAATATGATTTAATTTCAGCCCTGCACCAACAGAACATGAAATGAAAACCGAAGCTTTACTGGATAAGGAAGAACTTGGATGCATGTGGAGGGGCCCCAGTCCTCAACTATCGTGTGTTCTGCCTGACTCTAACCCATATCATTTAGAACAGGAAACCCAGAAAAAAATCTGTTTCCTCCAGATTATGTTGACATAATGGTACACACGATAATTAATATTCTGGGTTTCAACCTGGGCCACTGGAAATCCTCAAAGGCAGAATGAGACAAGAAAGCACAAACCACTTCCTTTCCTTCCAGTGAAAGATAGATAGGAGCAGCCAAGCAAGCTCTGACAAGCTTAAAAATCTGATATGGAGTTGGATTGTATTATACCACCTTGAGGGGATGCCACGGAGTCATCAAATTGATAAGAGTTGGTTGTTGCACTAAATAAACCTCTGGTTTAGGAGGAAAAAAAATAAGTTGGTGAGTGGAAGCTCTTTAAATTCAGAACTGAAATGCTGCCTGTGAGACTGGTGGTTTAAAAAACCTGACCATTGGCTAGGTGTTAGAAGCAAATCATATCTCAAAACATGTATTGGTTTTTGTTGTTCTCAAGCTGTTTAATTGGGAAGCAACTCTGGGAGGTACGAAATCCACAGCGAAATAGTGGAACAGATCTCTGAGTGGTGGAGACCAATAGTTTCAGTATGGCATTCAACTTTAGCTTCAAAAATGAACAAATGTGCTTGAAGTTTGCTACCCTTTTCCCAAATTCGATTAAGTAGATGGAGAGAGAGCATGAGACAGACAGAACGTGATTCCTCCCTCCGCACGGAGGTGGCTGTTGCTCTGCAGGAAGCTGAAGTCCACGGTATGTGTGATAAATTAATTGAGTTTAGCCTTTTGGTATATCTACCAGGTTGTGCTGTCAGAGATGATCCGGTGTCCTGGGGGATTTTAAAGCTGTTCTTTTAGTGAAAAATGTGACTGGCAAGAAGTTTGCTTTTTACTACCTTCAAGTTTCCCTCCTTCCTTTGGCCACCAGGTAAGAAGATGGTGCAGGATGTAGAAACACACACTGGTCCCCGCTGGATTTAATGAGTACAGTCTTAAAACTAATTTTGTACAAATTTATCACTCCATTTCATTTCATTTTTTTTTTTTTTTTAGTCCATCACGAAGCACGCAGAGCCCTCGGATGCTGCCAAAGCACACAAGTTATACAAGCGGGCATGTCGCGGGCTGACTCGGTGACTCAGGGCTTGGCAACTGCCCTACAAACAGAGCTACTGAGTTGGGTTGGGATCTGGGGAACCACAGGACTCTCCTGCTTGCACAGCTCGCTTGCAAAGCTCGGCTCTGGAGAATTACTAGAGAGTGAAAACGTGACCAAAACGTGTGAATTGCTAACTGAGTCGACAAATTCGAGGAGGGTTTAGAAATCTGATGGTAATAGTTGCGTTTTCAGCCTCTGTGTTTTAATGGGACATGAATACACCCTGAGTCTAATTCAAGGATTTGCATTCTCTGTCTTTATGACTATAATTTGTGTTTCTGCTCCAGGACTCCAGCTCCTGCGCCAGACATCACTGTCACCGCTGCTGGTCACCTAAAAAAACCCCCAACCTCCAATGTCGGGCAGATATTGAGGATGCAGTAGGGTAGGTTGCCCTGCAGATGGTTAAGGGCCTGTTCATGTGTTCTGTGTGGTTTAAATATACAAAAAATAGCAGCGTGCAAGGAAAAAAAAGTCCATTAAATAATTTAAAAGGAATAACTATCGTTCTGCAGGTCAGATCATTCCTCAGAGTTATATTATAGAGGTAGCTGATTTCCAAGCGTAGTCATGCTGCTTATTAACTGTTGTTTGCCAGTTTCTGCAAGTGCTGTAAAATGTAATTATACTCCAGAATTCGATAGCAATAAGTGTTAATATTTGTTGAGGATACCTTTGCCAGCATAAAACTGCAAATTTTTATTTGCGCCCCAAAGCAAATCCCTATAAATATTGAAAATTTAGAATGATTCCTGTACCAGAATGCTGTACTCTCGGTGGGTAGACTTAATTTTTGCTAATTCATGCTAATCTGCACTCAGGACTGTAAAGTCTCATGCTGGCTCTTCCTTTTTCTTTCCATTTCTTCTAGAACATTGTTTGTTGACTTTCTGGACCTGGGGACTCCATCACCTCTCCCTGGAGAGGAGGGAAAGGGTATCTGTGCTCAGTTTGGTTCAACACTGGAATTTCAGGTAGAAATTGCAGGTGAGACCTCAGTTTATGTGTATTTTCACCTCCCATTCATGACTCTTGACAGTTTGTCACACGCTCTGGGGCAGGGTTTATCGTTAATTTGTGCCCAAGTCCATGAAACTAACATTTTCTTCTGCATTTCCTCCAGAGCTGGGCAGCTCAGAAGACCAAATACATTTGGAGATAAACTTTAGTTTTCTGGGATATGCCAAAAATGACCTTTTAACTGAATTCTTCTTTGAATATCCAGATATTAAGGGAAACTGGAGGCAGAGAGCTAATGCAGCCCATGTTTCTCCAGAAGGTGGAGAGCACTGTCATGCAGGAGGTGATGGGATCTAAGCGTTTCCCTGAAGCTGAACGTGCATTTTCAACCATTTCTTTACATATGGCTGTTCCTCCAAAATGACTGTTGTTTCTGTGCCCAAGTTCCATTTAATTGGGGAAAAAAAATATTTTATTGTAAATCGTAGAATGGTTTGGGTTGGAAGGGACCCTAAAGCTCATCCAGTTCCAACCCCCTGCCCTTGGCCGGGACATCTCCCACCAAGGTAAACACATCACCAAGGCTTGAAATTTAAAGAAATTACACATATTAAGTTTATTTGAACAGCTATGATTGCTTTTCAAGCTCTCACTAATTGAAAATGAAATTTTAATAGGTTTTCAGTCCCCATATCTGTGAAACAGGCCCTGCAGAACTTTGTTGGCACCGAGTATTTTAATTTATGCCACCAACATATTTTCATGGTCAAACTTTCTGAGAAACTCTCCTTGGAAATGCAGTCTGGATTTCATTCCAGTGTGGAGAGTGATTACTGAACCATTCTTCTTCCTTACTCTGGATAAATACTTATTTTTCCAACATTTTATGGTATGATGACAACTTGAGGGAACATTAGTGGCCAAAAGCAACTTTACTGTTCACACCAATATGTGCCCTTTGATGTTCATACAAATAAATCTTATTATTTTTAGCCCCAGAGTTTGCACCGTATATGTTTCATAGACAAACATCCAGACTGGGAGAAACAGCTACTTATCTTCAGTTCAGCTCAGCAGGACTAACTTTGTAATTTATGGAAATATTTTGTTCTCTGGTTTGTTTTTGTTTCTTGGTTGTTTTTTTTTTTTTTTTGGAAGGGTTAAGCTATTAAACATAATGAGGAATGACAAGGAATAATAAGACTACTCAGATTATATATTTGATGATTTTTTTTCAAGGATCACAGTACCAGGGATGGGCCTCCTGAACACATTTCTGGTTTTGGCTACACTGTACCATAATTATTATTATTATCAATTTATTTTTTTAGGCAGAACTCCCTGTGTCACTCAGGGGACAGTTCTGTTCAAAAAACGCAACGGCAATGTTTGCTTTCTTCTGCTTTTTTGGCTTGCTGTTATTCTTTGGATAGGTGGCTTTCAGAGGGAAGTTGGTTTTTTTGGAAGGGTTTGGGGTTTTTTTTGCTTTATTTTGTTTTCGCCTTCCACAAGTCAAAAGTAATATTTGCAGCTCAGGCACCAGCAGGGGAAAAACCCATGAAAAAACCCAAATTCCTCCTGCCACAAAGAGTCCATCGTGAAATATTTGGAAAATGTCCAGTGCATAGAATTGCAAGTATTTCAGTGACTGTGAAATGGACCCATCTATGATAATATATAAAATAAAATATAGTATAACAGGTAAGGCAGTAGATTTGCCTCAGCATGTGGAATTTTAGATATACACAATATGTCAAAGATTATACATTGGTTAATGTGTGAACGCTTCATTTAAAGAGCAAATCTAATTTTTATAGAATTCAGGAACTGAGAGGAAAAATGAATTTGGAAATTGGATTTAGAGTAGGTAAAACCAGCTGAATGAAATGTAGCTTGTATAGATTTCAGCATATTCCATGAGCTTCACGGAACAGATTTGGCAGATGAATGTCACTGATAAATAACACTTTGCAACTTTTAGAAAAGCTACTGGCTTCAGGTACGTGCGTAAATGGTGTATGTTGCTCTAGAAAAAAGGTAATTATAGAAATTATATTATCTGTATGTTCTGTGAGCCTGTAGATATATAGATACATAGATGTGGAGATATTTATGTGTGTATATGTGTGTGTGTGTGTGTATAAAAAAAATAAAATAAAGTCAATATGTCCTGTTCTTCCTCTAGAAAAATAGAAGTACAAGATGAAGTGCTGGCACTGGGCAGGCACAAATCCCCAGATTTAGCTGCATTTTCTCCAGGCTTGCATTAAGACATCCCAGGGAAAGAAGCTCCCTTAAATCAAAACAGGAGCCGTGGTTTTGATAAGTGTCAGCTAATTTGTCAGCCTTGCTGAGGGCTGTGTATTTAAACAGATATTTCAAATGCAGAGGAGAAAAAAAAAAAAAAACCAACAAAACAGCCCCGTAAAGGAATGTGCTCTCTCTGTTTGAGGTGAGGTTGCCAGAAGGATTGTGTCCAAGGAAGATGATTCACTTTTGGAGCAGCGGCTCCAGAGTCAGTGGCGGAGATTTGAGTGTTTTCTGCCCAGCTGTGGGTCTTTGGGAGCTGCAGCCTTGGCCTCAGTGTGTCCAGAAGGTTGTAGTGTTAATTGCAGCTACTCGGCCTCAAGGTCAAACGAGGTTCTGAAGTGTTAGTCATTTATGTAAATGGAGCTGGCTTAGATGAGCTAAAACACAACTATTTTTCTCAAGAGTTTTGCATTCCTCCCTTCCGAAAATATCTTTATTTCCTCTTCTCTTCTGTGGGTTTTGTTTGCAGCTGTGGGAAAGTGCACTCAAAGTTCTCTTTGGGCTTTTTTTTCCGAAAGCAGGCAGAAGTGTGCTCCCTCCCGTGTCCTCTAGTAAAGAGTTCAAAGTGCCTTATTTCCTATTCTGCTTTATTTCTTCCTAATCTTCTTCAGATTGCAGCTGTTGAGGAAAGCTCACTCTGAAAAGAGAACAATGCTGCTGAAAACCTTTGGGCTGCTTCTGTGGAGCTGGACCATCGTGTGAGCTAACAAATCGGCCTTGCATTTTGTCTGAAATCGGTGAAATGGGCGATGTTTTCAGAGAATTTGTTCTTGGTGACTGCTGAAAATCAACAGTTGACTTTTGGTGCAGCTGGAGTGTAGGTCATCGAGCTGAACTCTCCTGTTTAAGGTAGTCCAGGGGGAAAGATGCAGAGATGGAGGTGGTGAGGTCAGGGTGATAGATAAAGGATTAAAAAGGTTTTTTTGTCGCCGCCTTGGGTGTCACTACAGTGAATTTCCACCTCATGAGGGGCTAAATCTGGAGCCTTAAACTATCCAGAAACCCTGGACCAGATGTCAAACCTGTGACCAGATGTCAAACCTGGACCAGATGTCAAACCTGTCCTATCCAGGTGAGCACAGGGGGGCTGGAAACCCTCTCGTGGAAGTAAAACCTGAAAAAGCCCAATTCTGTAGCAGGGCATTAATTGTGCAGCAGCAGAACCTCTGTCAGGTTTGCCCAGCAGATGCCAGCAGTGAATTAGAGCTTGTGGGAAAATAAAAGGAGCTCAATATGTGACTGTTGCAAACACTTCACTGCTTAAAGCATGATTGCTTGGAATTGATTAATTTTATTATTTTTTTTTCATTAAGGTTGATTTTTACTGTGAAGACCCTCGTTTTATTCTCTGAATCCCTGAGGCTTGGGTTTCTAGAAAACATTCAGGTTCAGATTTGGTCCATGGCTCATAATAATGGGCTTTCACATAAACAACGGGATTAAGTTACTTATTTCAAAGATGTTTTAGGTTTAGCCTTTTGACACCTTTTATATTTTTTTACCCGACCTGTTCTCTTCCTGTTTACTGTCCTTTTCAGAGTAAGAGCCATAACTCTTCTTGTTTACTGCCCCTCTCAGTTGGAATTATAAATTTGACCTGACATTAAGCTGTTCCTTTTTGTACTGGAGAAAAAAAAAAAAACAACAACCCAAACCCATGAAGTCATATGGTGTTATCCTTCACTTTCACTGAACCATCTGGGCTCCTGGAGCCAGAGCTGAAAACTGTCAACGTCTCCTGACGGGAAGCAAAGAGACTGAGCTAAAAGGGAAGTTCAGGCTGGAGAATCCCCTGGTAGAAGTTCTTGAGCAGTTCAGTGCTGGAGGAAGGAAGTCGTTGTCTTGTCCTGCCCCAGAGCCACAGCGATAGGTAAATAACGCCGGGCCCTTAAAGAGGGATTGAAGAGTTTGGTGGAAACCAGATTAAAGTTTATTTTTGGTTTGCTGTTTGCAGAACTTCTGTTGCAAACAAGAGGAAGAGACTCTCGCCTCTCGTATTGTAAATTAATCCTTAATTTAGGGAAACTCCCAGGAGGGTTTGTTGCTGCGTGGATCACCCCCTCAATACTAAAATTGATACCGTGTGGTTTTATGATACACATCATGTCAGTCAGTCCCAGGTCCTTCCGAACTGCACAGAATATAATGTGTTATCCACATAATTACGTTGATGGCAGTGGATATTTACCTTTTTTGAAAAGGCTTTCCTTGAATCAAGGCATTAATACAGGTACAGTAACATTGTCGTGTCCCAGTACGGTGGAAATGCCTTATGACTTGGGCTTTCATGTAGGATCATAAACACTGAAGAAATGGATTTCCCTGGGAATATTTATTCTTTGCCCTTAAAAGATTCCTGTTTGAAACTACAAAGACCCACTGAAAAGTTAACTCAGGTCACGTGGAACTGGATGTTCATTACAAATAATGATCATTAGATGAGTCTAGATTATTAGTTGTCATTTTATGTTCTTGGCAATTAGTATCTCTCATTTAAAATATTTATTTTTCCATTTGGCTGAGTTTCCCTACAAAACTGGAACAGTTGCCTTAAAACGATCATCTCCCAGGCAAAATAAATTAAGTCTTGGAATGAAGTCAAGACTTTTAACCGAAGATGAAGTTTCAAAACAATCTCCTTGCAGGAATGAAACTCACTTTCTCCCTTTAACTCCTCTTTCCACTGACTGCTCCTGCGTCTGGGTCTGTCTGGAAATCAAACATACACTCGTTTTCTGGCTTCCTGGAAGCCCTCCAAAGGTTGAGGGGAAGGAAGTCTTACAGGAAACCTTTCCAAAACATATTTAGGACTTGTTCTTCTTAGGCAGATAAAAGCCTCGATGTGTTTTAATACAGAATAACTGAAACAAACTGGAATATTTGGTTTGGGGCACCTTTTTTTTTTTTTTTTAATTAAAAATGTAGAAATTTGATGAGTTTTTTCCTATTAGAATTTGCATTGAGAGTTTTGCTTCATTTTTACTTCCTTGTTTCTTTTTGGCGAGTTCCAGATGTGCTAATAATTTGAGATTTATCTTAGTATAAATGTTTATTTGATCAAATGAGCATGTCTTGCGTTCTGGGACTTCCTTATGGGATTATCAGATGGAAGTGAATGCAGTCTCTGCTTTCCATGGAGTTTCCTGCATGGCTTTCATTTGAAAACAGCTGTCTCCAAGTTACAAAAATAATCCAGAAGAAAAGACCTACAGATACAAGAAAGATATGGCTTTGATTCTTTCCCAGATACAGGCTCAGATTTTCCAGGTGTCCTGGAATCTAATTGCGTATTTTATTAACCTAATTTTTCCATGTGTGACTATTGATACATACCCCATAAATGGAATCCGTTCTTAGAATACTGCCAATTCACAGAATTAGGATTTTGTTGCAGTTCAATACCGCAAGTTAATTTGTGAGATGTCTGGAGTGATTTGCTCTGATTCACTAATTTCTGGTTTTCTTCCTCCAGGGAGCATACATCGGACTTCTGGCCTTTGACTAACTAACATCATTAAATTATATGTTCTTTCATTGATCCCTTGGAAAACTCAGCCTTGTTGAACAAGTATTTGATTTGGGGCAGCAAGGGGCAGAGATGAACAAAAACATCCAAGGCCAAAATATATCATCACTATAAATAGTGACCTTTGCAATATTCCCATTGTTAATTGAATTACGTTATTAAGAGAAGCTACTGAGTTACTACCTAACTACTGTCAGGCAGTAGTGGTTAGTCCAGAGGGATACACAGATGCTTTCAGGGATGCTGATGGCGGGGATAGCATCGTGTATGCGTTCAAAATAGGCTTTAAAAATAGTAAAAACAGCCAAAAAAGGGGGGAGGAGGGAGAGAATGGTGAGTAATTCAAGGCATGTGTGTCTGCTTCTTTTCTTCTCCCCACAGTCTCACTCCTCCCCTCCTCCTTTCCACTCTTCCAGCTACAACACTGAAAAAAATAATGCTTATATTAGTGAAATTAAAGTCAGTGCTCCTGAGGAGGGTAAAATATTAACTTTTCCCAGCTTTCCCAGCAGTTATTAAGTCAACTCATGCTATGAGCCTAAATAAATTACCATGTAAAAATGGATTTTTGTCAGCAAGCAACCTATGGAGCACAAGGGTTTGCTTCACAAATGTAGCTGGGGATTGACCTGGATTCAGAAGGTCCCAGAAGCTCTGGAGGTAGGAAGCTCATTTTTATTTTCATTTCCACTATGTGACACATTCCCTCTAATAATATGTACTATGATACCAAAATGGACATGTATGAAACACGAAAAAAACAGATTATTCAGGATTTAACTGAGGTTTTAATCAATCAAGGCAAGAAATTAGATTGAAAGGTTTAGAAAATGAGATTTAATGAGTAATAGACATTTCAATCAATGCCAAGTATTTATCCTTGTATGTACAGAGAGAGAAAATTCAAATATATAAATCTATAAAAGAAAACAAAAATATTTCAGAACTATTTTATAAATAGCTAAAATCCAAGAAGATAAAAATCTGTACTTCCTTGTGTGATATGCAACGTATTTAGTTGCACATATAAGCAAGGAGAGAGAATTTTTCTTTTGGCTCTATTTTACATTTCTTAAGAAAATATAATTTCCTAACTCCTTATAGGTATATTTGTCTTCTGGATTCCTGACCCAAATTCCCGGCCTGAGGAATTCGAGATTTAAATACTCAGACGGTTACAACAGTGAAAAGAATGATAAAAAGTAAGTCAGGTCCACCAAAATACGCCTGGAGTAGGTAGATCAGAACTACCAGAAGGAAAAAACTGGCCCCAGCTGCTGCAGAATCAAAAATCTTCAGAGCAGTGTGTTTATTCTACAGAATAAATTCTATTATTGGCACTTATAGAATCAAAATAGGATGGTAACGTTTTCCCACACCAGATTTTCTTCTCCATCTCTTTGTTATTACGGTGCAAATGTTTGAACACTGCTCCAGACACAACACTAACCTTTTTTTTTCCAAAAATTTGCAATTTAAAAAAATTTTTTATATTTAAAAAAAGCCAAAAATAATTAGTGTAAAACAATTTTTTATCTCTTTGATGATGTAAAAGGTGTTTGGCTGTATTCTTGAAAATGAATCCCTTGGGATGCTGTAATCTTCATCACTTCTCCGTTTAGAGTGTCGTCTTCAATGATTGTTATCAGTCCCTCAGCAATTCTGGATGGGCTGGAAAAAAAAGAAGAAAAGTTGTTATTTCCGAACAATGATGTAACAGAACGTGGGAAAAGGAGAAGCAAAGCAACTCAGTGTAAGTCTCTATACCCTGAAAATTAAATATTTGAAGAAATTTGTTTTCAAGAGAAGCAGAGGTTACCACCTCTGAGTGTTTCTGGGGAGAAATTCAGTCTGCTTGATCAGGTCGTACAACGTTCAAGCAGCAACTTTACAAATCATCAGGGTTTTTTGGCCTTTATTTGCAATCCCTTAACGAGGTAGGGGACTTCTTGAGCTCATCCACCATCATCTTATCAACTTAGTCCAATTTTGTCAGTTCTTGGGCTGATTTCCATCTTGGATCACTTGCAACTTCATGAAAATTCAATATAAACGATATACCGTGCATCTTGCAACAAGTTTGTTTGAACACACTTACGAAAGAACACCAAGGGCTATTAAAAACTTGATACTTGGAAAATTCATCTGCACTTTGCTGGGAAATGGGAACACATGAAGGGAAATATCACTATGTAGGTGATAATCTTAAAACAGCCTTAAATAGCAGCCATTTGTTCCTTGTCTATAGGATAACACATTTGGTAGACCTTTATCTTGGGCAGTGTTTCCCTTTTATGTTAATTTTGCTGAAAGCACTATTGTGTGTGCTTCTTTTTCATTAATAAAGAACAACCTCCTATCTGACTTACTCCATCACGCCGTAGAACTGCATCATATTTTTGATCTCGTCCTTATACGAAAAATATTGTCCCATGTTCTCCTCCTTGTCTATCGACTGCAGAATGGGCGTGTTGACGAATCCTGGGCAAATTGTGTTGAGCCTCACGCCGTAGTTTTCCATACTTGCTGCTAACTGGAAAAGAGAAGAAGTTATGGCATTTGTCACCAACACTTCAACATAGCACCGTGTGAATGACTTCTCACGGAATGAGATTTACCACTAAGCGCTTTCCAGCCCTGCCCAGTAAGCAGATTTTGTTACTACTGATTGTTTGGTTTCAACAGCTAAGTCTGAGGCACGTTTTCTCTAGTAATGGTACTAGATTACTAGAAAAATAACATCTGCGTTGCTGGGAGAACAATTCCACAAGAAATCAACACTCTTCTTTCCACGCAGCTGTTTTTTTCTAATATTTTTGTTATTAGTGCTCTTGGCACGTCCTTAGCAGTGTTCTAGGGGGATGATATCACTCTCATAAGCAAAACCAAATAAAAAATATCTCCCATGTGCTTCCAATCTTGTAAGAACTTTCTCATTAAAAGAAAACTGTCTGAAATCAAATCAAGATTTAACTCTAAGATTGTATTTACCTCCCTCACGTCAACAGAAATGGGATTTGGTCTCTACCCCTACAACCGTAGTGCTAAACTTTTCCAGCTGCTCTATTGTCCCTGCCAAGGGATGAATTCTCCACCAAGCATCTCTGCAGGAAAAGCCCCTCTGAACTCCAGGAAAGGGGCAGAAGTGTTTCAGGATGCAGTTCAGGAAGATGATGACAGCGCAAACTGCTCTGGGAATGGTGGGACCCTTCATTTGTGGTTACTCCCAATGCATCCAGGCCCATGGTGAGCACTGGATGGACCTCCTTAGCCATGGCCCAGAACTTAGGAACTATACACGATACAGCCAAGAATAACCATAATTGTTCAATGCCCAATTCTGTTTATTTTAACATTTAACAGGTATCCTTTTTGGTATTATGTACATGTCCTTTTCCTGAGATGGTCACCTGCCCTTTAGTCTGGAGAAGAACAGAAACTGAAGTCCTACACGTTTTGTGTCCTACCTGTCCAACATCCTGCCTTTCCTGGTAAGTACAGAGAATCATTGTTTGTTATTCTTTTTTCTCCTTGCCATTTTCATATTCCATAGAGACAGCATTTCTTCTAATTTTCTAGAAGACCCTCTTTTTTTGAACTTGGTGATGTTCGTGTTATCATGAGAAAACAAAAATGGAAACCCAAGTTTCAGGTTGATGCCATGGCTTGTGTGTTATACATGACCCTTATCCGCACTAATCTATTTAGGTCAATCCAATAAAGAAGTTATATGAGTGGAGAGTTGGGAGGTAAAATATGCACAAACTATCCAAAGGATCATATCTGCTCCCTCCAAGTTATTTTACCTTTACTGCTTGTTCATTTTAACGAGAAAGTTTTGGATTCAGAGGCTAAGACTTACTCTGTGGTCATATAACAGCTAACACCTCCTATCCTGGACACATCATTTTGCATTTTCAGTGTATTGAGAGTTGGTAACAGCAAATAATGATAAACATTTATGTGTTCAAGTCAGTTTTTGTAGAATTTAGTGCCTATTGATCATTAGAAAAAGTCATCAACCCGACTTACTTACAAATAAGGAAAGCAATATGTTAAATGACCGGGATGGAGTTATGAAAAATATTTTCAAAACAAAAGTTTCTTTCAAAACACACACATGTCTGAATTTTTCCAGCTTTTGGGGAAGGAGGCTTCCGACTTTTTCAAAACACACACGTCTGAATTATTCCAGCTTTTGGGGAAGGAGGCTTCCGACTGCTTCAGACACTCTGCTTTCTTTAAGAAAATACATCCCAGTCGTGTGACAAAAGTGAGGGAACACAGAAAACTGAGCGTGATCCCAAGGAGCTGCTGATCCTGTTTTCCAAAAACACATACTTACTGCTATGGAGCGTGTGAATCCGATGACTGCTTCGGACACTCTGCTTTCTTTAAGAAAATACATCCCAGTCGTGTGACAAAAGTGAGGGAACACAGAAAACTGAGCGTGATCCCAAGGAGCTGCTGATCCTGTTTTCCAAAAACACATACTTACTGCTATGGAGCGTGTGAATCCGATGACACCGTGCTTTGTAGCACAGTACACGGGCTGGAACGCAGCCGGCATGAGGCCTGGAAAAGAAATAAAAAGGTAGCTGAATAAAGACATCAGGTACTCCTATTTATGATTACCTTAAACACACACAGGTTCTATAATGTTAAAAAAAATAAGTGAGGAATTTAAAGAGATGCAACAAAATAGATGAGTGAAAATTTTCAAATTATTTTGTAACTGGTGGTAGGGTGGGAAAAGATACCAGACTGATAAACACATGAGGAGGCAAGAGAAGAGTGATAAAAAAGTATAACTTTAAGAGGAAAAGTTGTATCTATGAAGTGTGACTGGAAAAAGCACTCCAGGATGAGATTTTTGAGCCGCCTTCTATGAGTCTGTAAAGCACTTAAAGTGCATAAAATATAGAAAGTGTTTTAGATAAGCTTTGATTGCTGACATTACTACTGGGTAAACTGGGCACCTGCAGTCATTTGCAGTGATTTCAGGGACACAGCGTGGGGAAAAGGTAAGGGAAATAACCAAGTCTGTTTTGACTACTGTATCTGCTTTAGTATCATCTTTGTAACACATCAAAATGTAAATATAAATATAATGTCTGACTTCAATCCCTTGTTTATGTGGCCTGCACAGCTGCCCTAAGCCCAGCCCTCCACCTGTGCAATGGTCTTACTGTGAGTTTATTTGGTATTTATTTGGAAATGGAAGCAGAGGTGTGGACAGCAAAGCTTTTTTTAAGCATTTTCTAGATTGAATGAGGTTGGCTGAAAATGATTTTATGGTTTGGTACCTCCTAGAGTGGCTCCTGTTCTGGAATGAGAAGCTGGGATGAAGATTTTTAGAAGGGAACAGGAAAGAAGTAACCATCCTTTATAATTATAATAATGATTATAATATCATTGCTACCCTCTGTAGGGAAAAGCAGAGGTGAAATGAAAAATGGGTGCCAACACTGGATATTTACGGTGAGAGAGCATAAAATCATTATTCATAGTAGAAAAAGGAGAGAGAACAGAGGTTTTTGAGGAAAATTAAGAACTTAATTCTACTAAGACTGAGTTTGGTGGCAAAATGCTGGTTGAGAAGAGATGAGAGACCACGAGTGCGTAGAAGTTTCTGCCTGGTGTGCCAACAATTTCCACTGTGGGAAGGCCACGTGGAGGCTGTGCTTCCACCTGAACGCTTGGGTCTTGGGAATAGAAACCACAGCCTGTCCTGAACGAGGGGATAAAATTCCTCTGTGCTCCTGAATATGATATTGTAAAACTGGGTACTGGTTTTGATGCCTTAGTGTTTGATTCTAATGGAAGTCATCCCAATTAATGGCTCAGATACATTTTTTCATTCTTTATGTGATAGAACCAAGAAAAGGTGTGACTTATCTCAGTGGAGGTGAGGAATCTGCTACCCAGCTTTAAGGATGGATTTGGCACAAAAATTCTGTGTGTTGGAGACCTGCCTGGGCTCTTTGCTCCTGAAGCCGTTGGGTCTGAAGGGAAGAACTTTCTAAAACGGCACAAAGCTCTAATTATGCCCCTGAGAGCTTCAAGGTGTTATCTTGGTTTAAGCTCTACATTGGTGATCCGGTGAAAGCAACACTGTTCAGTGGTGGGAAATGAAGAATTTCACCTCGTGGCTGGTTGTTCCCTTAAACTTGTATTTATCTGTTTAGCTGGGATTAACGTGTGATGCTTCAGCTCCATGTGCTTTATGGAAAATGGGTTTTTTCTTCTCCCCTCTGGGTTGTGATCACAATATTCCTTAACACTCTCTGTTTGGTGACTTGATGATCATCACCGTTCTTTAAATAATTGGAAATAGAGGAATATGAGCACAACAGAAATATTATGGTACTATTTTTTAAATATCTCCTAGCAGTTTTACTTGTTTTAAAGGAAAAAAACCAATCCCAATGAGGCTGCAGCTCACAGACATACAAAAGAGAAAATAACTGGAAAACACAGAGGAGGAATTTTATGCTATTTTTTTTTTTCAACATAGTAAGACAAATTTATTGTTACGTGAAAGGGAAGAGAAACGAGGTCAAGAAATAAACAAAGGAATCCAGACAGATAGAAATTCAGTTTCACAGAGTACCACCTTGAAAGTCTGGAGGTTATCAAAGCAAAAGCACAGGCACACACATGAATTCCCTTTCCCCCCTTTGCTTAATAAAAGTGTGTAGGTACCAGCCACCAAAGGGTAAGAGCCAAATTTCATATTGCTAAATTTAATTATCTAAATGATGTCAGGAGTTAAATTTAGTTTTGTGTGCTTTTTCTGTTGCTTGCAACTATTCTGTTAAAATTATTGTAGGTAGCTTCCTACAGAAGAAATTTTAGAATAATTTGCTCTTTAAATTTGGAATGAAGCTTATTACAGTGCCAAAACCTGCAGCCATTAGCCTTATCTTTTATGGGGCAAGCTGGCAGCAAAACACATTTCCCACTCTCTCAGTTGCTTGGCAGCATTGCTTCCTCTTGAGATGAATGCACAAATCCCTTAAAATTCAGAAAGCTGTATGGCTTCGCGATGCAGCGGGTTGGGAGTTGGGTACGTGCTGCTTGTCCTTCCGTCTTTCTCTCCCTTTTTCGCTTAGTCCTGTCTCCTGGAGACACTAAAGAGGGAAGATTTGATACTGGAAAGGGTGGACATGCTGGCTTTCACCCAACTGAATGAGCACTTGGAGCATCCACTTCACAGGAAGCGTTCAAGTCCTTCTGTGGGTGCTTGGAAATATAAAACAGTCGGGCCCGATGCCGACCCGAGTTCAGGTCATTGGCAAAAATCCCACGGCGAAGAACGAGAGACTAATTAGTGGGTAAAGCAAATATTATTGAATGTCACAAAAGCACTAAATATAACTCTTGTGGCTGCTCAGCAGGACACCAGAGTATTTGCTGCCTGTAGAGCGTGTCTGGTGATAAAATCTGTTAGAGAACTTGGACAGGGGGGATCAAAACCACTCGAGAGTTTAATGATCAACAGGAGCTCGCTCCGAAAAGAAAACACTGGGAGGGAATGGGAAACAGGCCAGTGGCAGTTTGCCTTTTATATATGGAATAAACTGCAGGACTTGGACCTTCAGACTGGAGAGGAGAATGAGTGTCACAAAGAGTAGTAAATAAATAAACAGTAAAAATTAGCGCATGTCAGCTTTTCTAACGTGTTCTCCCTGCTGACCTTGGTGACAATTGCTAAATACAAGCTCGGGAAAAATAAACAAAGCAGAAAAAGACACTGTTTTTGACAGGTTCCCGCAATCATTACGGCACAACGTTCATGTTACAAAAAAGTAAGTAAATAAATGCAAATTTTGATAAAATAATTAAAATGGCACTTTTGAGCTCTTACCAAACTGAAAAAAGCCAAGCTGTTAGGTCTGAAAATCAGAATTATTTTGTGCTCACTTGGAGCTGGTTGGAAATGGACTCAGGCTACTTCCTGCCCCTGCCCTTTCCCAAGTGCTGCTGGGGCATCAGCCCTGCTGTGGAAAGTTTAATTTTTGACCTGTGCTGGTGAACCCTTTTACTGCTTTCATTGCTAAAATGCACAAGAATACCCCAGAATAAAATTTCTGCCATTTGGTATTCCTCATGGATACCAAGGAAAACACTAACAACCCGAGAGTAAACCAATGTAATGTATTATTTTTCCCAGGCAGTAGCAAGAGAGAACAAACATTGTGCGCTAGATTATTAAATATGAGACTGATAGGTTGGGAAAATTACTGAATTTTTCATTGAACTGAGTTTAAAAAGGAAATAAAAGTCATGGCCCTTTGACACTACTTAGGTTGCTATGACGAAAACCAGCTCAAAATGGGAATAAACAGGGAAAAGGTGTAAGAAAGAGGGAAAGGTGTGACTGATTGGTACGATTCATTTATTTCAGAAACAAACCAGTGCGTAGGAAATGTTTATACAGGAAATATTCTTACCTGCCAAAGATGAGATGTTAATGATCACTCCTCCATCGCCTCCGTTTCCTTTTCTCATGTATTCTAGGCCGAGGTAGGTTCCTCTGATCACAGACGTCTGATACAGGGGGGAAAGGGATTATTATAGTCAAAATATGTTTCTTTTGTGCTCCTAAAAGCTGAATCTTGCTTTAATCATGGTGCCTAGAGCCTGTACTGCTTTACCAGTGATCTTATTTATATTTTAATACATTCCACAGTAATGCAGCTCAAGAGCTTCAGAAGCGCAATTGCATTGTGTAGAAATAACAGCAGCTTAATTATTGGTCTTATTAGGAGACCAATATTTGAACTAAAATGTTACAATGTGAAAGAAATGCTGTGAAGGAAATGAAATAGAGAGTACAGAAATAATTTGTTGAAAATAATTAAAATGGCACTTTTGAGCTCTTACCAAACTGAAAAAAGCCAAGCTGTTAGGTCTGAAAATCAGAATTATTTTGTGCTCACTTGGAGCTGGTTGGAAATGGACTCAGGCTACTTCCTGCCCCTGCCCTTTCCCAAGTGCTGCTGGGGCATCAGCCCTGCTGTGGAAAGTTTAATTTTTGACCTGTGCTGGTGAACCCTTTTACTGCTTTCATTGCTAAAATGCACAGGAACACCCCAGAATAAAATTACTGCCATTTGGTATTCCTCATGGATACCAAGGAAAACACTAACAACCCGAGCGTAAACCAACACAATGTATTATTTTTCCCAGGCAGTAGGAAGAGGGAACAAATATCATGTGCAAGATTGTTAAATATGAGACTGACAGGTTGGGAAAATTACTGAATTTTTCATTGAACTGAGTTTAAAAAGGAAATGAAAGTCATGGCCCTTTGATACTACTTAGGTTGCTATGACGAAAACCAGCTCAAAATGGGAATAAACAGGGAAAAGGTGTAAGAAAGAGGGAAAGGTGTGACTGATTGGTACGATTCATTTATTTCAGAAACAAACCAGTGCGTAGGAAATGTTTATACAGGAAATATTCTTACCTGCCAAAGATGAGATGTTAATGATCACTCCTCCGTCGCCTCCGTTTCCTTTTCTCATGTATTCTAGGCCGAGGTAGGTTCCTCTGATCACAGACGTCTGATACAGGGGGGAAAGGGATTATTATAGTCAAAATATGTTTCTTTTGTGCTCCTAAAAACCGAATCGTGCTTTAATCATGGTGCCTAGAATCTGTACTGCTTTACCAGTGATCTTATTTATATTTTAATACATTCCACAGTAATGCAGCTCAAGAGCTTCAGAAGCGCAATTGCATTGTGTAGAAATAACAGCAGCTTGGGTTTCTTTTGTGCTCCTAAAAACCGAATCGTGCTTTAATCATGGTGCCTAGAATCTGTACTGCTTTACCAGTGATCTTATTTATATTTTGATACATTCCACAGTAATGCAGCTCAAGAGCTTCAGAAGCGCAATTGCATTGTGTAGAAATAACAGCAGCTTAATTATTGGTCTTATTAGGAGACCAATATTTGAACTAAAATGTTACAATGTGAAAGAAATGCTGTGAAGGAAATGAAATAGAGAGTACAGAAATAATTTGTTGATGAAACACACGCTTTATCTGAGGATACAAGTGGTGGATGAACTGATCCGATTCCCAGCATTTTTACTGAGACAAACTGTGTTATAAAAAATGTACAGACGGAATCAAATACTAACATTTGTGACTCCGTTGGCTCAAGGCATGAGATTTCTTCTTAGGATTAAGTTATAACTTACATTTCTGGTCCCAGAACATTAAAAATATGTATTCTTTTCTGACTACCATTCCTCTCAAAAGAAGATTAACCCAAAAAGACAAATATAAATCATCTTTTATATTGTCCTCTCAATATAATTGTCCTCTCAAAATTCAGAGAGGTGTGAAACGTGGATTTAGTCTAATATTAATCTGCAGCACGTGATTTTTAAAATGTTTTTTAAAAGATCTTTGAGGAAGAATATTTTACTAAGACCTGTGTTATCTCGATTCCTTAAGATCTGTTTTTTGAACCCTCCTGCAGCCAGAACTTCTGCTGGGATTCATCTCGCCCAATTTCAGACTTTTAAACCATGAGATGCCTAAAGAAATGCCAGGCCTGGGGTTATTGGTCTCCAGCATGAATCAAGTGGAATTTCCCAGAAAGTAAGTCACTTCAGCAGAGACTTTAGAAGCGATAATAGAAAGGCAGCAGACAGTGGAAGATACTAATTTTAGTGAAATGTTGCAATATTCCTGCATCCGTGATGAGTTTCGTAATTCCTTACTAATTTTGTTAGATCTCACCATAATCAGTTCCCATTTGGTTTACAATTTCTACTTAAAATGAACAAGTGTATTGAGTTTCATTTTTCTGGAAATATTATTTCAATTTAAAAATGTTTTTTATGACCATTTATTGCTATTTATTTGACCCAAATGAAGATGTTCAAAAGATGAAGTGGCCCTACAACTATGTTCACATCTGCGCACAATTATTTCACTGAGAGTTTTGACCAATTCTACAGAATGGTGAATCATGGAGAAGGAAATCTCCCAAACTAATAAAAAACCACAGTTTAAAAAAAAATAAATCTGTATATGACTAAAACCTACTGGATAGTGGCTGGGTGTACTGGAAAGGAAAAGCTTTTAAAATTAGAACATTAAGTATTTGTCTACCGTTATCTAAATTCCCAAAGCAAAATTGAAATAATTTGAAGACATGTATTACGTTTCATTTTTATTAGCTGATAGTTTCAGACATACGTGGTATAAAACAGAAAGTAAAGGTCCTAATTCAAGTTCAGTTCAGTTGCTCTTCGCATTTACGGGTTTTCAGAGGACCCAAATTTGGGAGGGTGTTGCATCTCCTGCTTTGTTAATATTCCTTGTTTTTTGCCCAAGAAACGTGAGGTTAAGCTGCCCATTGACAGAGATAAAACAACCTGAGACCTCATTACCAAGTTTGCTTTGGAATTTTGATAAAGAATCAGCTTTTTTTCAATTTCTATAATTGCAACGTTTTATGTGATGTTTTCAATGTCGTTATATTTTCAGTGTACCAATTTTCTGGAATAATGTAAAAAAAAAAAAAAAAGAAAAACACAAAAGATGAATAGTTCAAAATTCTGAAATAACATTCCAAACTTTTCTTAAACCAAAAATTCCCGTAAAAAGCTTTTTTTGGTTGTTTTTCCCCTGGAAATTTTCGTTTTAAGTACTTTAAAAAATTTTTTGATTAATATCAAAAGAATGTTATTGATTGAATGTTTTAACAGAAACTTTCCAAAGAAGTGTCTTCAGTGGCTTGTAAAACACCAGACTAAATCAGATTTCTCTTGCAAGTCCCGGAAAGTTTCAGAGCCGTTATAAACGTAGTCGAGTGCTGTTTAACATTGATTGCCATGAGTAAATTTTAAAGGATTTATTGAAAAAGAAGATGGTTAATGCCCAGTAGTGCTGCTGTGAGGGGTCCTTATTCTGAATATGAACTCATTGGCAGCTCAAGTGACTTGGACTTAAGCATGGGTGGTGTTTTTTTAATATATAATATTAATATTATAATTTATTATTAATTATAACAATAGTAATTAACGTATTATATGCTAGGCTGTCTACAGGAGGTTTTAGGGAGGATGGGGTTAATGCTGCCTGGGAGAGCAGGTTCGGGTCCTGCCATACCCTGGAGCAGTGGCTCAACCTGCCCAACAGAAAACAGAGATTTCCACTTGGGACGATTAGAGGGAATAAATAATCCTGAGAAGGAAGTAGCTTGGGACTCCTTGAGGATTTTTCTGTTCCTCCAGCCTTCTCATTGGAGGAGAAAACAGAGCTAGAGGAGTCTTTGGCCAAACCACAATTAGAGGACAAGGAAAAAGTGAGTAGCTTGACTCTTCTCTCAAAATCACTATACTGCTCCTTTTTTTCCTCAGACTTCGTTAACTCGGCGTTTCTTCAAGGGCAGGGAAGCCTTCTCCTTTCGTAGGTATTGTGAGAGGTTGTCTTCAGAATTAAGGCAGACTTTTATTCAGGTATTGCCCTTACAGCTGCTCTTATCCTTGCAAAAACCTTCTCGTCAAGTGTGGGTGATCTTGGGCGATGTGGTTATTTCTGAGGTTTGGGCAGGTCACACAAAGAATTATTCTGGAGGTAAATTCTGAACTAAATATAGAGAAAACCCCAGTTGTCTGCCCGCTCAACGGATTGCACTTCAGCTGAAGGTTGTGTGGTAGATCTCCCATTCTCCTGCCAGAGTTCTCCTCTCAACAGTTCTCCAAGGAAGAACTTCCTGCAGAAGGGAACTCCTACAACGTGTGCTCAGAAGCCGTAGTGCCACTTTCCAGCCCAAAATGAAGCTGACCATCCTGTCTGGGTGCTAAACACTCAAACGGGAACGAGATTTTCCAAAGAAAAAATAGTTTTCTAAAGAAAAATAACATATTTCTTTTGGGGTTTGTAATGAAATCCATCTTTGCAAGTGCATAAATTGCAGCCTCATAAATTCCTCTCATGTAAAACTTTGGCTTCGTATGTGTTGACATCAGAATACTTCATCTGAATTCCAGAAAAAAGCTTATCAGCCATTAGTTCCTTATACCCTGAAAGCCACAAGGGAAAGTAAAACTGGCAAAGAATGATGCAGTTTGTGTAGCCCCATTTCCTGGATTTGGGATGTGACGAAAGATATCTGCAGTTTGCCTTTCAATTAACTGAAGGATCTTCAGATCCTGTAGATTTCCACACACACTTATAAGAATAATACTTTTATCCCACACTCCTATCCAGCAATAGTTCATATTTTGTCCATTACAAATAGAAATTTTGGGAAAGTTACCATTTAAAATCGCCAATTTTAAGAAAAAAAAAAAGTCTAACTTGTTTGAAGATGAAAATGTGCTGCGAGACTTAACTTTGTACAACAAAGAGTGTTGCATCTTACAGCTGAATTATTTACAGTTCCTTTTGTTACAGTTCCATTAGCCACACGGATATTGTCCATAAACATGGCAAGAACCAAGAGTAGGAAAGTTGTCAAATTTGTGATTAAATGCAGGTAAAGTGAAAACTGGGACAGCTGACTCTTACTTAGATTTTTTTTTTTTGCTCCCAGCCACTGAAAACTAGTGTCATTCAAAGTCAAAAAATAATCTAAAGGGTTGTCCTCCTGTCATCTTAGTGATACTGCTGTTTGTTTTCTTACCAAAATACAGTGTATTGTAGCACATAATGATGGACCATCGCTGAGCTCTGCAGGTCTGAGAGAGGAAACTTTACTCAACTGCCGGCAGAAAATTTAGGATTCTTTCCGATGAAGTTATGAGGGTGAGTGTGGGAACATCTCCTGGTATTGGCTTCCATAAATTACAGGTTTTAAATTAGAGGAGATCAGAGGTTCTGAAGCACCACACAGTAATACACCCCAAACTTAATATCTGCTACTGTGATAAACTTCAAAAAATAATTCTGCAAATACTCAAACATTTACAGTTGCTTTTGGAAGTACCATCTCAGTAATCAGCTGATGGTCGGACTCAATGATCTGAAAGGTCCCTTCCAACCCAGACAATTGTATGATTCCACTTAGCAAACTGTTAAATGGCAATTTAGGTATCACTGTCAAAATCAGAAAGAATCTTACAAAATCTGTGATTCTTGACATCTCTGTGTGTCCCATGGCTGTACAGTTTTAATTGTATTGTTCTAAAAGAGACCATATCTTAAAACTCTGATCCTAATGAGACTCCGAGTCTTCAATAGAGACTTATTTAATATTTTTCCAGTGTTAGGAACCCACGTTAGCCAGTACAATGTTCTTGTACCCCACCATTACACCTGTAAGCCCATTTCCATACTCTGTGTTTAATTTTAGCTTGATCTATTAAAAAAAAAACCAAAAACAAGAAAGCATCCTTCAGTGATGGTGCCCAGAACGTCATTTATCATCATCCTTTGTAAGTGACAACTGCTTTGAAAGTAATTTAGTAGAGAGTGCTTTTTTTCCCTAGTGTTTCAAGGCAGGTTTTCCAACTGACGTAATTTTTTTATGCCTGTTTACTAAGAAATAGGCTACCTCGTGCTTGATAATTCTGCTGTCTCCTTATGCATGCTAATTATTTTATGCTGAGAAACTATATAACTCTATCTGCGTTATTTCAGTGCTGAGGATGACTTGTTATCAAGGTGATAAGGCAATATGAATTGATTTGAGAGAAGAAAATGGTAATTAAGAATCAGTCCCAACATTATATATAGGTTTTTGAGCTAAATCTATTCGAGAGCCTGGACTACCGAGCGAAAAACAAATGAGGAGCCATTGGCTTGTGGTTTCACAGAGCAGGTCAGCACAGGGCTGGAATTTGACCCAAGATCATTTGACTTTCATGCCGCGATGTTGTAAATCGATGGTTATCTATAAGGAAACGTTGCAAAGTGCTTCACAAGCTGCATAAGACGAGCTTCAGAAGTCTGAGACTAAGTGCTGCTCGTGATATTCATGGAAAAATTTAGCTTTTTGCTGCTGGACGGGGAGGTGGGACTGATTTTGCCTTTAATGTAGATTTTGTAGGAAGCAAACAGGTTGTAGCAAGCGCACAAGTCCCTTGGCATTCCTGTGTAGAGGAATAGTTTCCTTGCTATATAAAATGAAATTGCAGGCTCTTGAGTTTGAATTTCCAGCTCAAACTGTGGAAGACAAGCAGCCCAGGGAGGGAGAGGAGAAAGGAGAAGGAAATATGCAGTAGGATTTGATCATTTGCTTGAAATCAGCAGCTTTTGTACAATGTGGGACTGAAATACTGGGGTTAAGCTTTTTTATTGTGCAGTTTTCTTTACTTCTCTGCCCCAGACATTCCTGAAGGACACAAGAGTAATGTTGCCCTTCAAGTAGCTGGGCTTAAGGAGTTCTAAGTTCAAAGAAATTTGCTTTTCATTGTATTTCAGCATTGGTTACTGTAAACATATGTTAAAACTGTGAGCTGGGAAGTTCATCAACTTTGATCAATGGCAGCTTGATTGACTGTGCAGTTAAGGTAAGTCTGTGTTCTTCCTCATGTAAGATGGACAATAAAAATAATTCTATTTAGAGGCTTCTTTATGCACTTGGCGGATTGACCCTCGTGCCACTGGTTGCAAGGTAAAGTGGTACTCGTCACTTTTTGGTGGCCACATCTCTCCCTAGGGACTTAGTCCTCCTCCTGACATCAAATAAGCCACTGAACAACAGAGTTACTCCATGTCTGGTTGCCTGGACTGCAAGTTTGGTGAACTCTTTACCTATATAATTTTGTCTTCTACAGATCCCACTGTTTGGTTCTGTGTTGGTAGCATTAGGACACAGTCCTGGCCCCTGTCTGTACTGGGAGTCCTGGTGGCAATTCCCACCTGCTGAATCCAGCTGTGTGTCCTGGTCATGTTATTTTGGGAGGAAAGTTTGGCCCTTGACATTTCTCCTGTTCCACTGGGAAAGGAGAGCAATGCGGATGGACTAGAAGAAGGTTGCAGTGTTCTCCTAAGGGGTCCCTTTTATGGCTTGCACAATTGACCTTGTGATGACCATGAAGTCTTTTTCCCCAAAATAAATGAAATTAGTCACTTCTGAAGCTTGCCTAGTTACCCTTCTGGTTTCTGCCGGGATGTTAATTGGCCTTTTGAGGATTAGTTCCTTACAGATGAGCAAATGAATTGGTTTTGGAAGGTTTGTGAGCTGCTGGAACCTTTATGTCACCATAGGCTACGTTTGGGGCCACATGTAGATACACAGCATTGCATTCCCTGCTCTGTGGTACCAACCTAAGTCTTTTGCAGGGAGAAATCCCAACTTAGGCAGACTTCATTAAGAAAAGGACTTTCCTAAATTCACAGAAACTTGTTACCTTTGTCATTTATGGAGATAAACTATGCAAACCCATGAAAAATGCAAAAACTTGGCATCCTTGGGTACTGCCACATTTTGCCCAGTAACGAAGGATGAGACTGTCATGCACCTGAACAAATTCCACATGTGTATTTGAGTTCTGCTTCTCTCTGGGCAACACTTAGATAATGGATCCCATATGACTGGGTTTTTTTTGGCTTGCCCATGTTATGGCCTGCAATTTACCGTTTTGCCAGAATAATGTGTTAAGATCTGCAAAATCATCCCATAAACAGGAGATAACTGGGATTTTGCTGTCACATTCATGAGTCATTTAATTTCCTTTGGGGACTTGGTTTAAATATACCTACAAAATAATTTGTTGGCATAAGAAAACAGTAAGAGAGTCAAAATATTATGCAAAGTGCTTCTGTACTTTTGATTCAGGGAATATTTAAAATGTAAGAATAATCGATGCCCGTACTGCTACGCTTAACTGTCAGTTTCCAGAAACCTCTGATACGAGCACAAAAAAGGAACCTCCAAATAAATTTTGGGATTGTCCCAGTGTAAAATGTGCTAAGTGCATTTGTAAAGAGAAGAGATACTGTAATTAAGTGGCCATTATAATTACTGTGGTTCCCAAAAGCCTATGTCACCAAGACAAGATAAAATTAGGGAAGCTTCTTAGAACCCCAAATGGTGTTGAACTAACACTATGTTCCAGGCTCATAAAGATGTGGGCATTTTTCTTTCTTTAGGGACTTGAAGAGGGGAAAAAAAACGTCAGATTATAAAATTTCTGGATTCCTCAGGCATAAATTCTCATGAAATTGAATGCAAGAAACTGTCTGGTCATGCTGGAGGACTGAAGGTAGGACCTCACTAAGAACATACGTGCTGTGTCCTTGTGCCCTTCTGTGCATGGGCGTGTGTGCGCATCCCGGGCTGTTGAAACTACAGGGGTCATCTAATTTAAAATGGAATTGCTGAATGGTTGCCAAGATATTGTTTTAAATACCACAATAACCAGAGTGTACGTTTGTGTGGGTACGAGCAGTTGAAGCTGCCATTGATGAAGCTGGCAGTGATCAAGTCAACGCTATCGGTGTTGGGGTTTTGAAGTGAGGAATGGATGGCATTGCTGGAATACTTAACTTAAAAATTTAATAGAAATGTTAATGATGTGACAAAAAAGGTGGGGTTTTTTTGCACACAATATAGTAAAATGGCGGGAGGTGCTGCAACAGAAATCTCTTTTTAGCTGTTTATACTCTTTTCCCCCCATCTTTACCAAGCTGTCCTTTCTCTCGCTCTCAGGAAACTCTAATGGATACAAGTAGGAACTGTGTTTTATTCCCCCTTTTTCCTTCTAAATTAAGCCAATTAAGCCCCACTTTTGGAACCTGCTTCTTCAGTTCTGTTCTTCATGCTTCCTCAAGCAGTACTACCAGGGAACTTCCTCACACTCCTTTAGAAGCTTTCCTGAAGACCAACCGGTTCTGTGGAGTGTTTTAGCCATAAAGAACACACCCCACACGTGTTTGCTCTGATTTATCTTGTGCTGCCCTGCTCTGCTTCTGTACTTTGTACTTTATACTGGGGCAGGGAATATTTGTGCTATCAACATAGAAATGGTATCATTAAGATGAAGACTGGCATGTAGAGGTTGGGGTTTTTTTTTCCCTTTTTAAAAGTAGAAAATATGTGCATAATTTGTATCAAAACGTGTGTCCTTAGATGTTATTCCTGTTCTTAGGGATAATACAAAGGATACTTCAAATGTCTGATGTTGGCAAAATAAAGACATTTTAAATATGCACATATTTTGCTCCCTTGTCTACAAAAGCAAAAAATATTTTATGAAACCAACCAATATAAGATATTAAATGCAGTTATTCTTCAATTGTTATAGTTAAAAAGCAAAAAGTACCAAATGTTATATCTTGGTTTTTGGAAATTACAGTAACTCACTAGAAATACCCTGTGGAAATAAGGTAGTTGGTTGACTCAGGGTTAGAGAGGGAAATAATATCAAAATCAAAAGATAAATGAGGGTATTTGGGTCTTAGAGTGTCCTTGATTTAAGCCCCATGGCTGTACTTCTACTCTGCTTCATCACTTTAGATGTTCTTATTCCAGTCACCAGCTTTCAACTATGAATTAAGTCATTAGGACGGGATAATACAAAGGATACTTCAAATGTCTGATGTTGGCAAAATAAAGACATTTTAAATATGCACATATTTTGCTCCCTTGTCTACAAAAGCAAAAAATATTTTATGAAACCAACCAATATAAGATATTAAATGCAGTTATTCTTCAATTGTTATAGTTAAAAAGCAAAAAGTACCAAATGTTATATCTTGGTTTTTGGAAATTACAGTAATTCGCTAGAAATGCCCTGTGGAAATAAGGTAGTTGGTTGACTCAGGGTTAGAGAGGGAAAGAATATCTAAATCAAAAGATAAATGAGGGTATTTGGGTCTTAGAGTGTCCTTGATTTAAGCCCCATGGCTGTACTTCTACTCTGCTTCATCACTTTAGATGTTCTTATTCCAGTCACCAGCTTTCAACTATGAATTAAGTCATTAGGACATTTATAGTGAATTTACCTATACAATAATTTATAAACTTGAAAATTTTCCTTTTTTTAAAATTTTTATTTTTAAGGGCAGTATCTTGATAGTTAAGCATATAGATTTGTAAGACTTGGATTCCAGTTCTTCTGCTCCTTGAGGTGGTTCAGCCCCACCTCTGCTCTGCTTCAGCCTCATCACTGGTAGTAAGAGAAAAAAAATAGCAGATGGAGCTTCTTGATGCCTTCTGTTTGAAGCTCTTGGCATTGAAAATTTGCTTGAACGTCACTCTAAGTTAGGATATTGTGACTGGTAATAGTCTGTTTGAAAATAAATTTGAGAGGCTCACTGAATGTACTGGGTTTTAGCAAGTAAGCACTCTTAAGTGATGTGCTTCGATCGGCAAGGATGGTGACATGGCCTGTGTGAAGAGCTCAGGTTCTATGTCTGCTTCATTGGTGGAGAAAATGTGGAGCTCTTGGTTGAACGAGTTTTCTTGTAATACCAACAAATGGCAACTTACTCTGTAGCACAGGCTGAGTCCCACAAGTAACTAAAATGTTCTAAATAAATCAAATAAACAGACTGTTCTCCTGTAGAGACAGCTCTACTGCTTTGGGCACCGTACTGTTCAAGGCCAGGTTGAACGTGGCTTTGAGCAACCTGGTCTGGTGGGAGGTGTCCCTGCCCAGGGTAGAGGGGTGGGACCAGATAGGCTTTAAGGTCCCTTCCAACCCAAACTAGTCTATGATTGTTCCACCTTCCTGGAATTTCATTGGGTTTTATAGCTTTATTTGTTAGAACCTCAGTAGTTACATGGTTTTTGCTCCAGTAGCTGTGCTTCCCAATCCAACCATTCCTGGCACGATGGCCTCTAGGCGTATTCCAGTGTTAAACAAAAGTATGTACATATGAAAGAAGAGAATTCTTACCAAGTTAATTTGGATAGTGCTTTCCCAGTCCTTCTCATTGTTCACTCCAGCGTTGTTAACCACAATGTCCAGCCTTCCAAAGTGCTCGATTACTTTTTTGAAAGCACCTGTGGTAACAACCAAGGGTGAAATTTGTTAGAACTTACGGAAAGAAAGATATAAAAATGCAATGCATGCATATAAATCAATGTTTGGTTACTCTACCAAAATGTCTTTGCTATTTTCTTAACCACTAAGGAGCAACACGCAATGAAAAGCTTTATCTGACCATTCACCAGTATTAAACATATTGAGGAAAAATGAAAGGGTTAAGATACCATCATCACCTTTTCCTTCAGTTTTACAATGCCTGATAACAGGAGCTAATGAAAGCTCTTAACACCCATACGTTTCATATTAGATAGGATGTTTGGCACCCTAATTCTATAAATTAAGCATTTATAGCTCGGTTTGTAACAGGTGGATATAGCCAGTGAGTTCAAGATTTGGCACCATCTATTTTACAGGACAAATAAAAGCCTCATGTGTTCAGAGCACAGTTGGTTGAGTCTGAATTTAACCTAAGAACTCAATCTTATTCAGTGAGATAACTATCACGAGTCTGTCAACTACAAATAATTCATCGTGATTCCGGTTTAAATTTATCCATTTACGAATAAATTGTCATATATCCTATTTTTCAGGTAACTTCAACAATTTGTTTCTCGAATTCACCCCACCTTCCTTCTGCTGAGGAAAACAGTGACCTGCCTTCCAAAGAGTGTCAAAATAAAGAGCTGGGAAACTTTCCCAAGGACGTTGTGTTCTCCCAGGTGACGGTGTCTGAGCTAAGGTAAAAGCTGTGTGGAAAAGCACGATGATGTTGTAGCAATGAGCAAACTTATCTGGGGTAGGATGGGAGGATGGTCGGAGAGATGACCTCCAGGTGCTCACTCCAGGCTAAGATTTTCCATGACTGCAGACGTTATCTGACATGTATATATACAGCTTGAGGGGTTTTTTTCACTTCAAATATTGTTCCTCCTCTCTAAATATTTATTATTATGTAAACCAAGACAATTTTTTTTCCACTTCAAATATTGTTCCTCCTCACTAAATATTTATTATTATGTAAACCAAGACACATCCTTCCCCCCCATATTGTTTTAAAAAACATCATTTGATGACTGACTTAAACCCTAGGGTATTTCAGGTACACTGAAATCGTGCTTGGCAGGGCTTACTGAAACCACACCACTAAAAAGTGATCCTAATTACCTGATCTTTAGCAGCTTTGAGAAATTGACCTTATTTTTTTTGCAGCAGTTGCAGGGATTTACTGAGTTTTTTTCTGGCACCAGGTGGCCTTTTCTTCTCCTGAGCTCTGCAGGTCCTTCCCAGTCGTCCTCTTGTCATCAGAACAAGGGCTGGGCAGCAGGTGGGAAAGGTTTTGTTTGTCCAACTGCCTTTATTTTACAGATCTTTCTAATATTCTTATTCTGTACTAGAATATTTCAATATTGCTAAAGCCTCTATTTTTTGGCAGGCTGCCTTTTTGGCTTTTGTCGTGTTTGTTGCTAATTCATTCTCTGGTTTCTCAATTTAACTCTTCAGTCACTTCTCGTCTTTCCCATCCTGCCTCAGCAAGGGCAAGTGAAACCCTTTGGCTTAATTAGGAGCAGAACTGATTATTTAACTTAGTTTCAATGGGTAAAATAAACACAGTTTGGGTCCTCAATCGGCTTTCAAATTTTGGAAACTCTGATTCCCTTTTAAGCCTTCTCCAAAATAGCATCTTTCATCAACCTCATTCTAAATAGAATCTTTTGCCTTCAAAACCCACCACAGATGCTAGTACTTTTGCCAATTATTTGCTTATTACATTCACACAGTCTGGACTAATTGTAGTTTTCTAGTTTACACATCAAGAAAAGAGCCAAATGCTTTCAAGCTGCTTGCGTATCTATGTTAAAATAAAGAATGACTACCCGATTTGGAATATATTTCTGGTAAATGTTTACCTGCCTACAGTAATCCCATCTATTCCCTACCCACAATAAGAAGAATCTCATCACAAATGAAAGTTGTCACCCACGCTTCAGTGTAAACTGCCTTGTTCTTCCCTTTTTGAATGTAGAGTAATTCTGTGCCTCCATTGCACACCAGTGGGTGCCTATGGAATCGTGAAAATTAAAAGCAGATGATCGTATGGAATGTTGAAGAAAGAAAAATGAAGAGGAGGATCCGTTTGAAAGGAGAAGGAAGAAAACCAGTGGAAAGTAAGTATCAACACCAGTTATATGTGAACTTCCTAAACATTCATGGAAAGCAGACGTAAATGTATGGGGAGTTCTCAGAAGTAGGACAAGATAGAAGATTTTTGGGGGTCAGGAGCAGGTCACAGGCAAGACATCAGCCTTTTGTACCTACAGATCCTCGGCCCAGGACCGTGGCTTGGTTTCATACCGAAAGGGCTAAAGTTAAAATAAGAGGAACTTGACTCAGGCACATGACCTTTAAGATAAAAAGCCGCTACGGGGACTTGAGACATCCACTAAGAGCTTTAAACACGAGGAGTGAAATGAATCTGCATTTAAGTGGGGGCTTGCAATTACAAGTTAAAAAAAATAGGAAAAAACCCCACAAAACAACAACCAACTAATAAAACCAATAATATCACCCCAGAAACCCTAAAGGATTGTAAGACATGGTTGCAGATTTGTGACACGCATGCTGCAGGATGCTTTTCCTACCTCACTCCTCCCATGAGGAGAAATAGTCAATAATCAACCTAAGCTGATAAAAAAAAACCACTTTGTTTGCTGATTAGAACAGATCTCAAATTTAGAGTCTGGCATCTCTCTTACAGACAGACAACGTAAATCTTTGGAATTAGGCATAATCCACACTGGTGACCATTAATGCGGGCAGCGAAGCCTAGGGGGTAGGAGCAGAACTAAAACTGCTGTTGACATCCCAGCCTGACACAAATAAATCCGGGGAAAGGGCACGGACAAAAGTAATGTCAAAATCAGGGATCTGAGTCACTACCTACGAGTGTATCTCTCTAATAATGAAACTTTGCAGAAGTGGTGTGCCTGTTAGGAAATGCGGTGAAGGGCACACCAGCATTACATGATATTCTAAGAACTGGGGAGGGAACATGATTTACTCCACCGAGTGAAAACACAAATGCAAATCCTGCGCGAGGGAAGCTCCTCGCCATTCCCTGCATCTGCAAACTGTGTGTGAAGTGTTATCAGCCCATCTTTTAACCCAGTTTGCTGGGTTTTTTTTGCCTTTTCTGCTCTCCGCTCCGGGAGAGAGCACCACCGCAACCCCGGGCAGAGTTTATTACTCCTGCGAGGAGAGAATGCAGCTTGGAGTCTGGAGAGAAGCCTCATAAAAAGCAAGTCCCTGCTTTAAAGTGTGTATATAGATATGTATGTCTATTACTCATAAAATAACAATTATCTCCTGCAGAGGCTTTCGTGCAGAGCTATCGGGCGCGCTACTCCACGGCAGTGATTTCCTTGGCTTTGCTTTGGCAAAGGGGGGTGCAAAGGGGGGGGCTGGAGGCTGCATTTCACAGCTCCAGGTTCCCAACCGACCCCAAAACCCTTCCCGAGCCGCCGTGGTGGGGAGCGATGGGGGGGCAGGGGGGGCCGGGCTGCGGGGACCCTCCAGCCCAAGGGGTGGCGGGCGGTGAAGGGGGC